GAAGTTGGTGAAATTCCTCTTTTACTGGAGTTATTGGACATGATATGAATATAAGTGAGCACAGTGCTCGTTAAATTAAATATAATATCTGAGTATTAGTTGTTATTAAGTATTAACCTGGTTAATACTAGGATTAGAGACTGTGAGTATATAATAAATTGCAGACCTATTTACGACTTAAGTCCGCAATAGGTACAATACGAACTGGTAATTGTCCGTCGAATAAAAATAAGTTTTTTCTTATGTTTCGAGGTGAGATGTTCCCGATGTACAGGATAGGATGATAATCACAGTATAATACACCCACTTTCAAAGTTCGCGCCAGATAAACATCGTTTTTTTATTTTTTTTAAACATTGTGATTTTTTTTCGTGTTTTTCTTGGATATATATATTTTCCCCTCGTTTATTATCGTACTTCATACTTCATCGTGACTGAACAGACACCTAAAGTACTCAAGCTTAAGACTTTGTCCCCGCATTCGTTTCAACTCATGCCTTTCTGGCCCGACAATATCTAAGCCTCGCTCTGCTACGCAGAAGCCGACTTTTACGAGCACGGCGTGATCGACACACGTTCACAATTCCTCGCAGTAGTCAAGGCACTACCGCGCGAATTCAACAGGTACGTAACATCTAGTATGTTTACTAGTGATGTTTCCGATCCTTACGAAATCTGAAAACGCTCGATTCTTAAACGAGGAGACCTAACCAATCGACAAAGGTTAGATCAACTCTTCAATAACATCGACCTGCAACACGGTTCTGCGTCGGACATGTTGCAAAGGATGAAAGAGGTTATAGTCCCAAGAACTTTCGACGAAGGTCTATTCAAACAACTCTTCTTGTCAAAACTTCCTCAACAAATGCAAGCAGTTCTGGTCTCGTTCCAGAACAACGCCTTAGACGAGCTAGCTGCATCTGCCGACCGCATTTTAGAAATTACGAAACCTTCTACTACCGAGGTATTTTCAGTAAAAGAAAATCCTCAAAGGACTCAGAATGACACAACCGAGTTATGTCATACACTCACGCGTTATCTAAATCTTCGTACGGACCGTAAGAGATCGCGCACCCCATGCAGAAGCATTTCACGTAAGCGATCTGTCTCTAGACCACGAGAGACAGATAACCCCGACTGGTGCTGGTATCATAATCAGTATGGAAAGTTTTCCAGAAATTGCAGAAAACCCTGCAATTTTCCCAACACGAAACCGAGTGACTCGAAAAACAACTCGGGAAACTTCCAAGCCGGCACGCGTTAACGGCAGCAGTAGCCGGCGAACATAGCCGTCTGTTATACGTCACAGATGTGACAACAAGAGTTCGCTACCTCGTCGACAATGGCGCAGAGGTTAGCGTTCTGCCAGCGAATCCCGACGACCGGCTTCACGAATCGGCTTTAAACTTACAGGCGGCAAACGGAAAACCGATCGCTACGTATGGCAAAAGGTACGTTTACCTTAACGTGGGTTTACGCAAACCCATTCACTGGATCTTCGTTGTTGCAGATGTTTCTATGCCAGTCATTGGTATGGATCTTCTACAACACCATAATCTGATCATCGATACGCGCAAACGGAGGCTAGTAGACGGAAACACTAATTTGTGCGTTTGCGTAACTTCTTTCTCTGGTTGCATATTAACCACAAACACAATTAAGCAAACGATGGACCCACTCTATCAACCACTACTCGATAAGTACTTTGGGATACAGCAAACTCAACCGAAACTACCGTGTGTAACCAGCAATGTTACACATCACATCACGACTACAGGACCACTTGTATTTTGTAAAGCACGACGACTAGCTACCGAAAAGGTAAGGTTAGCGAAAAACGAGTTCGACCATATGATAGACTTAGGAATCATACGACAGTCAAGTAGCCCATATGCATCTCCGTTGCACATGGTCCCTAACAAGGACAGCAACGATTGGCGTTCAACTGGTGACTATCGGCGATTGAACGCGAAAACCCTACCCGATCGTTACCCGTTGCCTCACATTCACGATTTGACAGCTACCTTGAAGGTACAACTGTCTTTTCGAAAAACCACTTGGTTAAAGCGTATAACCAAATCCCTATGGCTACTGACGACATACCGAAAACAGCTATCATAACTTCCTTCGGACTCTATGAATTTTTGCGAATGCCTTTCGGTCTAAGGAACGCTGCTCAAACATTCCTAAGATTCATAGACGACGTTTTTCGAGGTCTCAACTTCGTACATGCGTATGTTGACGACTGCCCAATCGCAAGTCCGGACAGAGAAACACATCTCAAGCATCTGGATCTTGTTTTCGAACAACTACAAAATCATGGCATTACTGTAAACGTTCAGAAATGCCAAATTGGAACCGACTCATTAGACTTTCTGGGGCACACTATCGATGCTCAAGGTATCCGACCCCTTAGAACCAAAGTGGCGGCCATTCTGGATTACCCAGAACCGACCACCGTCAAGCAATTACGCACGTTCAACGGCCTCGTAAGTTTCTATAGACGTTTCATACCGAAATGCGCATTACTTATGAAACCTCTGACCGACCAACTTCGTGGAAATGCGAAATCCATTAATTTGGACGACACCGCACGAAAAGCATTCTCCACAGTTAAGGAACTGATTGCTAAAGCAACAATGCTCGCACATCAGGACACCCGAGCACCCATTAGCATCGCAGTAGACGCATCCGACTCGGCAATCGGAGGAGTCTTACAACAATGGGTTAACAACTCCTGGCAACCCTTGGCATTTTTCTCTAGAAGGTTGCTAGACACCGAATCGAGGTACAGCACATTCGGTAGGGAACTCCTAGCTATGTATTGCACTGTACGGCATTTCCAACACTATATCGAAGGCCGTGAATTCACTCTTTTCACGGACCATAAACCACTTGCTTTCTCGTTAAGCTCTCCTTCTGACAAGTACTCTCCCCGTGAGTCTCGACAACTGGACTACATTTCGCAGTTTACTTCAGATATTCAACATATCTCTGGAGCAAACAATGTAGTTGCAGACGCCTTATCTCGCATAACTTCCTTGAACAGTTTCCAAGGAATCGACCTTCTTAAACTCGCCGAGCTTCAAAAAGAAGACACTGATCTTCAGCACGAGTTATCGTCCACAACACTTAAACTACGCATCAAACAGATGAGAACAGGTAAGGAAACCTTACTTTGTGACACATCTACAGGTAGGGATCGCCCAATCGTGCCGAAACGTTGTCTTCAACACATTGCACAAACTTTCTCATCCAGGTGTTCGTGCAACCATCAAGCTTATAGCAGAACGGTTTTGCTGGCCTGGCATGAATAAAGACGTGAGGGAGTGGGCACGCTCCTGTGTAAGCTGCCAAAAATCTAAGGTTATCAGACACAATAAATGTCCCTTAGGCTCGTTTAAAACTCCCGATGCTCGTTTCGACCATGTTCATCTGGATTTGGTAGGACCTTTACCAGATTCAAATGGATACTCTTATCTCTCAACCTGCGTAGACCGTAGAGTGTTTACCAACGACAAACTCGTTGGGTTTAAACTTTTGGCTGGCCACGTCTTAGGGTCGTCACTGCCCCAATAGGGGGGTAGTGATCTGTAGCGGTAAATAAATTCCCAAAATAAATAGCTCTAAGTTTTCGACCTTGGATGCTGACCATATGTTTTAGTGGACTTGTAGAACTATGGTCTACTATGATATTAGTACTGCTCTAATAATAGACCTAATCCTAAATTTGTAGATTCGTCATGATATAACTGCCTAATCTATAAGATCTTACGTGGAAGTCACACCATCGACTACGCCAACTCACTGTATCGTATCAATTACCAATACATGATGAAGAACAAGGTTAGGTTAGAGAAGGAACAATATATTTAATATGAATAGAGACCACGCCTGCATGGCCGAGCCATGCCACTCGATCAACTCCAGTCCATTCAGTTCATTGTTCGCGCCTTCTCCATTGTTAGGTATTTCCCCGAGTTAAATATTGAATATCTATTTTCTGAGTAGTCTCGTGTTCACAGCTTTGTGGATTGTGTGGCTATTGTCCAATGCCACTACAGACTCACCTAGCTGAAGGCGCTCGGTCAGGCATCCGCATCCAGATCACGTGTGGTAACGCCGTGCTCAACATCAACCGCAATCGCTAGCCAGATTAGATCAGGGAATTCCGATATATTGGTCATCGCCAAATATACTCTTCCGATCTCCTCGACTCTGTCTTTTGATTTCTCTGGGTGGGAACGAAATATATTAGAAGGTGTTACTGGTAGAAGCGTTGTCAAACACTGAATACCTGTCACATCATCAAGGAATTACCTAATTGCCACAAAAATCACAAAACAAAAATATGACTATGAAGATAACAACACTTCAACCAGTGACACCCTCTTTAATTGAATCGTCCACATTCAGTAAAATCCAAAGTCAGAAACGGAGAGTTGTTGAGATGTATTCGATAGGTTTTCAATAAATCGAGGGGTGACTAATCTAAAATGGCTAGCGGTTGTAGGAGAAGTTGCTCACGGCGTTCTCACTCGTTATCTGGTGCGGATGCGTGACCAAGCGCCTTCAGCTGAGTGATTCCATTAAAGCTAATGTGGTCAGCATCAATTATCGAAGACCTGCACAGCTACTGATCTTGAAGATTTATTTACCGCTACAACTACTTATACGGTAGTGAATATAACTACAATTTTCTGTTGAACACTTTGAGTAGGAAATGGAATCGAGATTTTTCCAGAACAAACGCCAAAGTTTAACCTCCAAGAGACTCCTTATTTTATGCATTTTGTGATTGGTTCACACTTTTCAACACAATGAAATATCTGAAACTTTATTAACTAACCATTTCAACTAGATGCGTTGAATAACTCGTTTTGAAGATGTCTTGAAGACAGAATAGTTTGAGCAGATGAATTCAGAATAGAGACACTACTTTTGATATGGTGAAGAACTACCTTTAAGTCGTTTGTTTGTCCACTGCAACTTGAATATTTATACATGAAGTTCATGTAGTGGCACAATTTCAAAATGCATGTTTGGAAGCTACTCTGAAGATATGAAGTATGCTTCTTGGTATTTTCTTAACATACCAAGTATGGATCTTCACCTGCATTTTTGAAGCTTCAGCTGGTAATTCTCCATTTCTCTAGTTATATCACTGAGGAATTTTAGATTGGGAATTGTCATGCTATAACGAGTCTATGCATATACATTGTGGCTCTGAAAAAACAATAATTATTCATGAAGCTCACTTTGGTTATTTTCGTGAGATTCTACTTATATCGAACTCAACCGATCGTTGTCGTACACACAATTCTCGAGATTGTTGGGTCGATGTGACAGCCAATATATCTAGAAGATGTTCTGGTCATTCTGTATGTAAAAATTCCGTTCATTATTCATCTGACTTGTCTGCTGATTTGTTGGCGAGAGAATGTTCTTTCATAATCGACAATGCAGCTGAGCCAACTTTGTTCGTAGAGTATGACTGTATTTCAACAAGTAAGTTTAGTGATGTGTTCAGTTGTTTCTAACACTTTCAACCAATCTTTTTGGATTTTTATGTGGTAATACGGCTATCTGCCTATATGATCAACCAAAACTTGGTTTGAGCAGTATCGTCTATAGCTAGAATGCTTCATATCCTTCTTGTTGGTCCTCTGATTTTCTGCTTACAATTAGTTTTATTAGAAAAACTGGACTCATTCATATCCTATTCTATGCATGTTATTTTTTTCGAAATTCGTTCATTATTTAAACTATGATAGACGTATGCAGTTACTATTTTTTATCATGAACATGACGGATATAAAGGACGAATTCATTTGGCTAGAAGGTTGTAGGAGCCGTAGTTAGAAGCCCAACGGAGTTGGTAAGATTTTTGGTGAGACTAATTTACGGACGACATTTTAGAGACGCTGGAGTGACCTTGAGAGTGAACAACTAATTAAGGCTAAATAAGAGTTATAAAGCAGTTAGAATTCTCATTTACAGTCGATGGTTAGGGTTTAAAATTAGATTATGGGTTTTCATCACGAACTGACATCAGCTATAATGCCCAAACTCCATTTAACCAAATGCATGAATGAGTTCCGCGCCCAAATTCGTGATTCATTATCTTATATCTGATTGCTTTGTCCATAAATTATAGTCTCGCCAGATTTGTAATCCATTAATCGACGAAACTATAATTTATGGACGAACCAATCAAATATAAAATAACGAGCCGCGAGTTTGGGCCCGAAATTCATCCATACATTTGGCTAAATAGAGTTTTGGCATTATAGCTGATGTCGGTTCGTGATGAAAACCCTAAATCTAATTTCTCACCCTAATCACCAACTGTAAATGAGAATTCTAACTGCTTCATAACCCTCATTTAGTCCTAGTCAGTAGGTGTCCACTCTCAAGGTCCCTTCAGCGTCTCTCGAAGGTCTTCCATAAATTATAGTCTCACCCATTAACCTTTTCCTAGTCTTTTTGCTTTCTTCAGTTACTGTGAGACATATAAAGAACTTGCTTGGGTTTTTGTATCTATGGCTATTATTTCCAACTTGTTACCTAGTAGCACTTCGTAGCATGTGATTATAATCATCTCTGTGTGAACAGGTTATTTCGTTCATAATCAAGTGGTTTTTGTAAATTATTCTGTTCTGCAGGTATTGCGATTCCTTTCATAATGTTTGCAGATAAGTCTTTAACAAGTTTTCTATTTATACCATCACACCATGTTTATTAATAAAATTGTCGTCAGAAGGAACGTTTTAATTTGCCGTTAAAACTCAATTTTTAGAACTGAGCACTTGATACAAAGCTTTTTTTCCATCCATTTGAAATGAAAACAAGTCCAGAACTTGTGTGGTAGTCACCAGTAGTTATGAATTACTAAAACTAACAGCAATAATCAATAATAATTAACTGTCTCAATGGTAAAGTTTCATCTTGTTTCCAGGGTATAACTCAGAATATTGATATCTATGAAATGATTTGGTTCATTGGTGGAGTCCGCTGAAAAGTGACAATTTTTATTTGGTTAAACACATAAACATTGGTACAAGAAGGCAACCGGTAAATATGTGCTACACCGATCATTCTATTAGTGTGAGGGCTAGAATACCGATCGAGTACCCAAACCGAAACAGGTGGCTTTCTAAGCGTGCCACTCATCGCGCCTTTGCCTTACAGGTCTAACCCACAAGACAGTGGATCAACGTTATGAGATGCAGTCACATGATATCCGGTGGCCAACATTATGTTCATACGCCCTTTGTTCCCTCAGCTTCCTAGGGCCCATGTGCACCATCGACTTGGAATCAGGGTTTTTCAACTTCTCTAGGTCGATGTGTATCCACCAACCCGGTTAAAGCTCCGGACATTTGCTTATTAACAGTGTTTAAGCACTGGATATTTCTTCTTTAAAACGTGGTTAACTTTAAAGTTGAACAGCGTAAGGACCTATATAAATCAAACTTTGAGAACTTGAATTCGCTAGTGTCCGTTTTGTAAAAAAATTATTTTTGTGCACTAAACGTTTCGAACAACACATATAAGCGAACAATTGTTTTCAATTAGATCGTCATCAGGCTTTACTCTAATATACATGAATATTTATACGAAAATGTAAACCAATCAAGGCAATATGAGTCAATAATCACAATGAAATAGAATAAGTCTCTACACATAATAGGTAAAAGTACAAGTTGATAGCAGGAAGACAGGTGAACTGATAATAGTAAGAATAATAAAATACAGTAACAAAACTCTTATCAATAGTTAAACGTTGGAAATAGAAGGTCGAACATGGGTAAATAGACTAGGAATAGTAATTACAAAACATCAAAATCATTACGTAATAAGATGTGTGTAAATAATTAGATAGTCAAGAATACAAAGAGGCGGAAAATTACAAACAAATAATGGATGTGGAAATAAGGTTAATGATAACACGAATAGAATAAAATAAATAATGATAATAGTAAAATTAAAAAATATATATCGTTAGTTGAGTTAAAACGACACCTTCATCATCGTAGATCAAAACACCAGTAAGGAGGGACTCCTAGACCAATTCAACAGTGTTCACCCAGGGATCACTTTCACTGGTGAAAGCGAGCATGATAAGAAGCTGAACTTCCTTGACGTCACACTAAGCAGACGAAGTGACGGCACATTAAGTAGATGCGTGTATAGAAGAAACCCCTCCTCATGCCAATATACTCACTTCTGCAGTTTCACACCTACAAGAAAAATCTGGTCAGATGTCTCACCAGCAGAGCGAAAAAGATCTGTACAGTAGGTAAGTCAAGAGCTTGAATTTATCAACAACTCACTGACCGAGACCGGCTACCTCAGTGCTTTCATTACGAAGTACATGTATGACATAATAAAGAAGTCGGAGATTTTGACTGTTCGTAAGAAACCTTTATACATGAAAGTGCAATTCAACGGGGATGTGGCTAGCGACACTCTGAAATATAGGTTAACTAAAGTAATCACCAAGACATTCTACGCAGCCAATCTTGCGTTGACCTCTTGTCGACCAGCGATGTCTACTCAAACGAAGGATAAGTTACCTGAGTTGGCCTCTTCTATGTGCATTTACAAATTCAGCTGCTCCTGTGGAGATAGTAATATAGGACGTGCTACCAGGCAACTTAACCAACGAATGAGTGAACATCTGCCAACTTGGTACATAAAGGGCCAGATAAAATCTATTCATAGTTCTATCTTGGCACATCTCATTGATAGCGGTCATGCTGTAGATAAATCGAAATCATTTCGAGTTATCTATCGTATACCTCCATCATTTCCTGACGGAGTTCGTTTCTGCCTCCTACATATAGCTGAAGCCATTGGAATTCGTACATATAACCCCAATTTATGTGTACAGACGAAATACATAACCCCCTATCCCTCCCATGGCCAGTTATAACTTAACTGACGATATTTTTGAAAAATTTTATTATTATCATTATTTATTTTATTCTATTCGTGTTATCATTAACCTTATTTCCACATCCATTATTTGTTTGTAATTTTCCGCCTCTTTGTATTCTTGACTATCTAATTATTTACACACATCTTATTACGTAATGATTTTGATGTTTTGTAATTACTATTCCTAGTCTATTTACCCATGTTCGACCTTCTATTTCCAACGTTTAACTATTGATAAGAGTTTTGTTACTGTATTTTATTATTCTTACTATTATCAGTTCACCTGTCTTCCTGCTATCAACTTGTACTTTTACCTATTATGTGTAGAGACTTATTCTATTTCATTGTGATTATTGACTCATATTGCCTTGATTGGTTTACATTTTCGTATAAATATTCATGTATATTAGAGTAAAGCCTGATGACGATCTAATTGAAAACAATTGTTCGCTTATATGTGTTGTTCTAATTTTCACAATTGGAATCTTTAATATACTAAACGTTTGCATGGATTCGTTTAGATTGGAGAAAACAAATAAATGTTTCACAGGTTGAAATCATGAGTCAGTTGAAGCTAGACCACCATTGAAAACCTGGAAGCACTGGACGGCCGTTTCGTCCTGGTATGGGACTCCTCAGCAGTGCGCATCCACGATCCCGCACCACGCGGGGCTCGAACCCAGGACCTACTGGCTTCGCGCGCGAGCACTCAACCACTAGACCACTGAGCCGGCATCCAACGGTGTTAATGTCTAACTTCAACCAATCCACGAAGTTGCGCCACCGTACACCATTGTTTTCAGTGAGTTGTTATCTCACAACAGACCGGTTGAACTCCACTGGTAACGGCTTCTCACTAGAACTTCAGGAGTTTTTCCTGAAGTCAGTCACTAGTGAGCAGTTGATTATTATTATCAGAATGGGTTTTGTGGAGAATTTTAGAAATTTCACAGGTTGAAATCATGAGTCAGTTGAAGCTAGACCACCATTGAAAACCTGGAAGCACTGGACGGCCGTTTCGTCCTGGTATGGGACTCCTCAGCAGTGCGCATCCATGATCCCGCACCACGCGGGGCTCGAACCCCTAAATAGCTCCTGATAATATTTGTTTGTGTGCTAAAACGTTACTACACTGCAATAAAATTCACGAAACTTCGTTTTCAGAAGTTGTAAGTCGTTAAAATCTGAAACTGCCATCTTATGTTGTGCATATACCTAGACAAAAAAATCGAAATAATCCTCTGGGTCTTGGAACTGACATAATGTTAATCAGCAAGACTAGTGACTGTCGTTGTTATAATTAAAAAGGGGTTTTGATATCAGATTGTTAATATCCTTGTTCTGAAATTCTGTCTGTCTCCTAGCAATAATTCATCTATTCCATGGATAAAAATTAAGTTGTTTACTTATAAAGACTTTTAAAATGATTAAATGAAGCTTTCAGAAATTCGGATCTCATGCAATGCAGCCTGTAAATGACAATTTAAAAACGACCGTCTTTGCACACCAGCAATTTAAAAGTCTTGTAATTTCATTTGCAAAAATATGGATTGTAACCAGCTTCC